TCTATTTAAAACTTCATGAAAAGGCTAGAAAAAAATATGTAAGTAGAAATCTCCTTTTCTATAAGATGCTCAATACTTTCAGTGTGCAAATCACAGGATGACTAATATGACATGGATAATGCTTGAACTGGAGGGAAAACTGAAAACTCTTTAAATTTAACTAAAACCAAAAAACATCCAATGTTAGTACATGTAACTTCGACAATTTTCCTCTTAATTGTGAAAAAATATTGATTTTACTTTCTTAAAGTTAAGTTTCTGAAGACTGAAAAAGAAAAAGTAATATGCTGAACATATGAAGATCCTCGAGAAGATCAAAACCAAAAATAGGGATCTTTTATATCTTGACATCCACAAGCAATTTAGTAACAAGATATAAAATACTTGCAACAAAAATGACAATCAGATCAACAAGGAGTAATCTAGTTCAAAGGCTTACCCTCCAAATATTTCAGCCACACAGAAAGAAAGGTTTTCCTAGCATTCTTAAAGTGGAAACTTCTTTTACAGTTGCTACGTCAGCTAAACCTACCCTCTTATTAGTACAGGGGGTATACTAAACAAACTAGATGCAATGGATAGATCCAGTTTCATTGCATTTCCACAGGGATAGTTGGTCCAGTCACAGCCAACAGGATGACTGAGAAACTCTAGAAGTCACTATAAAGAAGTCATGTGATTTTTCATATACTGTACTGTACCGAATGCTGAGATCCATTTCTTATAATGAGGTGGTATGGACCTGGGTCTATATTCAGAACCGATCATAACGAGCAGACCTCAGAGCAACACTTGACGACATAGTTGTGTGCCAACATGATAGAACACCACTCTCGCACAGTGGATATTCTTTAGCTTCTCTAATAATATATATCACACACTACAGTATTAAGTTGTACTCAAGTCTTTGGTTGAAGCATAAAACTACTGTGTTTCCAACAAGCCAGAGAAAGGATTTAAGACAATTTTAAGATTCATTGTAAAGTGCACTATAGTACAGTATATATCAGCACAATAGTTTAAGTGTACCACTATTACAAACTAATTATTACACTACACTCAATGCAAATCATCTTATGCAGCAGCTGAGTTTGGTACATTATTAATAGTTTTTTACTTTCATAATTTTATTTCAACCAAAAATTATCTAAAACACCAAGGCCTAATGTTTTAAGATTTTATAAGATTTCATGTCCACTTTCTCAGTTTAAATATCTGGAACAATTCTTTACAAAGACTTATTCCTATAATTTGTTCCAAATTTGCTAGAGTAATGTCTATCACTGCAATGAAGTATTTACAGCAAAGCCAGGCTATAATATTTTTAAATGCCTTTAAAAAACCTAAATAAAATACTGTTTTACAAAGTGTGGAATCCTCTGTTGTGTGAATAAGAATCTACCTGTACTACTACAGAAGTAGTTCAGTTCATTAGATACAAGTTGAGTAATTAAAGAATTCGTGTAACTCAACAACTGTTCCTATCAGAGCTTCCACAAACAGTTAGAACCTCCAGTGTCTTTGCCAGCCTAAGCTGATCACTGGTACAGCTAATCCAAAAAGTATCAAGATCTCCAGGCGCCCAAAAGAATATGAAACATTGAGGAAAGGCCAACCCAACCCAACTGATACGTGAATGCGTCCAAGGTTATCACTCGTTTTTTGTTCCATCATTCCCTGGAGTCTTGCTACTTTTTGGGTTGACTGTACTGTACCTGCCTCCAAGAAAATTTATTTTGTAGTAAAGCTGCAGCGTTTATACTGTAATTGTTTGGCTGCCTCAGTGGCCCCTAGATCCCAACTCTTCTTACAAATTACAGGAGTCCCCACATATTGTCTCTCCAGGTATTGTCTTAATATATCTTGGTTTTATAATTAAGCCACTAATACATGTTATTAATAATAATGTATCTAGTCACAAGGTGGAGGATGTCTCCCTGAGACCCACTGGTTTAAATAGCTGAGAGGTGCAGGTCAAATGTTAGTCATGGACTTGTTATATCAAATTGTTTGTTTGATCTTAATTAGCTTTTTCTCTATCTTATCTGGTGAAAATTTTTCCAAAGGAACTTAACCCTCCCCCCTTGTACATTATTTCTTAAGGGAAAAATTGGTTCATTTTGCGTCGTTTCGTTTAAAGTTGCACTTCTGAAGGATGCCTATACAGTACTGTACTGTGCGATGATAGGCAGGGACCCTGTATTCCTGAATACCTCCTGCAGTAAAGACTTTGAAAGCCCTACATATCTAACAGGCATAAGAGTAAGGCCAAACAACATACTTATTCATCAACACATCCAAGACTTTGTAATACAGTACAGTGACCCCTTGGTTAACGAACTCAATCCGTTCCAGAAGGTCGTTCGTTAACCGAAAAGTTCGTTAACCGAAACCATTGTTTCAATGGGTTTTTGGGTAATTGGTTCCAGCTCACCGAAAATTTCCTAAATTCAACAAAAATGGTAGAAAAGTTCACTTACTTTGAGGTGTGTATGTAGAAGGATGATGATGATGATGGGATTTAGAATGGGGGTGGAGGAGAAGGAAGAAGAGAAGGCATTGGGGTGGAAGAGAAGTCACCCCATGGCGCCATTTCACCCATAAAATTTTAGCTCTCTTGGTGTAATTCAAGATTATTTTCTTTAAATCAACACTGCACTGCATTATATATTGTCAATATGTAAAATATATTTCAAAATGACCAATAATTTGCTTGGAAACACAGAAAAAATGCATTTAGTTGAAGAGAGTCTCAAGCAAGATGTTACCTCCAGTGAAAACAGAGAGACTAACGCCTGTTTGCTGTGTTAAGAGGCTGAATGCCGCGCATTAAACTAGTCACTTTACCTTCAATTATGTTCAATATTCGTTAAAATGACTGAAAAATTGAATATTAAACTTTTAAAATTATTGAATAGTATAAACTTCTTGATATTTACTAAAATAGTAAGGAATTTAAGCCCTAGAACCGATTAATATATTGGCGGACTGATACTTAAGCTGGTTGCCCGGTCAGTGCAAGCGAAAACATGTTGAGGTCGGTTCGTAAGAAATTAGTTAACCGAATTTTTGTTCGTTAACCGAATTGAAGATCCTTATGGAAGGCAGTTCGTTAACCGAGGCGTTCGTTAAACGAGGGGTCACTGTATGTGAAATTTCACAAGTTTACATTACCAAGACCATGAAGCCGTCCTTCGCTTGCTTCTCACTCCTAACAAACTAGAGAAGATTTTATTGTTTCTTGGTTTTTTTTTTTTGCTGCCAAAACATTAATAAAATTCTTATTATTCTTAAACACCAAAATATATTATCATTATTGTAAATCAAAGTAAAGCTTATTAATGTTAATTTATTATTGTAAACAAAACTTTTATCAGTAAAACCTGACTTAAGTACTGATTTTTTTTTGTAATAAGTGGAGGTCAGAGTCAAGTTTTTTTTCACTGATGAACAAACCATCATCTGAAGGCTAAACAATGAATCATATTATACACAAAAAGACTCACTACAACCGTGAATACATTGTAAATCTGACCTGCAACTCCATAAGGGAAAAAAATTACTTTGAAGACATAAAATATATTCTCACTCACTCAAGGAAGTTCAATGAAAAATTTGGCATTATAAAAATAATCAATATAACTTAATTAAGTCATTGCACATGACAAACCTAACACTTATTCAATACAACTTGCAATCTCAAATTAAGATGGAGGGATTGTGGGAGCATGATAGCTCTCTATTGCCTAAAAGGAACTAAGTTTTGAGTAAAAAGGGAACAAGGTAAATTGGGGACTATTTGTAGTTAAAGCCATGTAATTTTGATCTCCATTCTTTCACTTCTTCACAAACATACAAGTACAATGGACTGAATTCAACTTGGCCAAGAACTACCAAGACAATGTACAACACCTTATACAAAAGGAAATGGCCAGGGCCACAGTGAGTGTGTCCAGTATTCATTAAATCATGGACTTAACATCTCCAAGAATAATACAATAACAAAGAAGAATGAATACAATTATGTAAGCACAAAAAATGATAGGTTTAGCTACCATGCCATACAAGTTAACAGATCCTGTAGTAGGCATATTCCTTCAACCTACAGTACATGTACCTGATATTCATATTTACTTAGTGACATTTTATATTACAGCTGTAAACATCTAGAACTGTTATGATTTGTTTCAATTCAGCCACTGGCAAAATATAACAAAACGTGTTATGATACAAATCAATGTAGTTTATCCAATACCTTGTCCACACAGCAGCATACAAGAAATTTGTCTTCCTTCAGTACCAAGTTTACCTTTAAATACAAACAAGTGCACTTCCATAAAAAGTGGAACTGTAGTGAAATTTTAAATCTAATAATCTGAGTAAATTGTTTAATTTAGTCTGACTTGTCAACAGAGGAAGCCTAAGGCATTCTGTTCAAGTTGTCATCTTCACAGAAGTTTAAACATAAAAGAATATACATAAAATTAAAACTTTAATTCCTCTTGGATTTCCTTACTCTGGTAGCCATACTTTCTTTACATGTCCTTATTTCATACCGAAAGCAAGTAACAACTGCTCCTCTCATTTCACACAAACCAATATGTGTGGAATTCATGATATGCTTTGAGTTTTGTTACTGGGGCTTCAACAGTTTAAGGTGAGATGATGGTCTGTAACAACAGTACAGCAAGCCCGTCAAATTCATGGGGGTTAAGTTCTCAAAATGGCTGCGAATCGCCAAATAACATTTGCTGACCAGTGCGGGGGGGAGGGGGTCATTTTTACTTGTGTACAAAGAAATGCATATTCCCTTTCTGTGTTTGCCCTTAGGACAATTATTTCTTTTACCTGTATTGTATACATGTGTGTGTGTGTGTAGACACACACACACAGAATGCATACAAATAAATAATAAAGGGAAAATTCTCTCCCAAATAATCAGAAACAAATTTATTAAAAGTTTGAGTCTACCCTCAAGTCTACTCCGTGCTTTATTAATAAAACATGGAGTAGACTTGAGACTGTCACATTTTTAATAAATTTATTTCTGATTATTTGAGATGATTTTCCCAATATTATTTATTTGTATGTGTTTTTTGTGTGTGTGTCTTCACACACACATATACAATGGCTCCCTGTCCCAGCCGCGGAAATGCTGGCAACTTTAAAACTACCAGCAGACATTCTTGGGTACATCCAGGGTGTCAGCTGCGAATAATAGAGGACTGTGAAATAAAAATCCGCGAATTGTCTGGGTGTACTGTACTACTTGAGGAAGAATTTGTAAGTGCCACCCTGGTGTGAACACATTATAAGGCAATATGATACAGATGGAGAGAGATTTAATAAAATGGAAGAACATTCACCTTCATTACTGCATCATTCTACCATTAGTGAAATGTGTACATACTGTACTTGTGTTGTCAACCTAACCAAATTTTACAAAACACTGAAAAAAAAATATCACAATGAAATCACAGACACCACTTGCAACTTCAAAAATTTTACCTGAACATGTTGATTTAAATATTAGGTAATAATATAACATTATTTAATATTTAAGTAGGCAAAACAAAGAGGTTTATAATACATATAAAATCTGTATTCAGAGTCCCAATAGTAACAGTTGAAATTAAACCTTCACCTAACACAATATGGCTTGCCAAGTAAAATACCTTTGTTGGCTGACTGTTCCCTTAGCACTCCTGAAACAAATATGAGGCGTCCAGAAGTAGTAAAGTGACCAAGACACATAACTGTAGTTTTGAGAAAATGCAGTTAAAGTTTATAAGACTTAAATCACCTTAACTTGGGATAGAATTAAGCTATTTACAGTCCACAAAAGGAATGTAGCTAATACACAATGTAGAATATGTGTATTTTGGCTCTTACTGTAGTCTATTAAAGTAATAAATATGATAACTGGCCGGACGTACGGTGATCCTCGACCTGTGCGAGGTAATGGGGAATAAAGATGCTCACTCAGGTGGAATCCGTGCAGGTTGAAGTTAATTACAACATTATAAATTGGGGTGTGGGGAACTGACACCTAAAATCCAGAATTTTCAACATTAAACAAAAGTAATGTATACATAAAAACAAAATAAACATGGTAAAGCATTACGATTAATGTTAACTATAAATAATTGTCAAAAACATGCAATAAAATATGTTTACAGAACCGTGTAGCAGATACTAGTTCACAAGGCAATGTGCATGTCTGACCATCCAAGAACTATCGTACATTGTAGCACTTACTGATTCGCAGTTAATTTAATCAAATATTATAGTTTCAATAAAAACATTTCCTATTACTGTTGATTGTAATATTAAAATTAGATGTTAGATAACTAATGTATTTATTAATGAGTCGGGTTGACATTTATTGACAACCAGGGAAACTAAATTTTTCATTAGCGTATCAATTGTCTTTATTTGATATTTATTTATTAAACCTTTAAAAACTTATTTAATGAAATGCACAGTGTTAACAATATTTAATGCTTCTCCAAGAAATGAAACATTAAAGACATAGTATTTATGTTTTTACCCTAGAGGCACTGAGGATACTGTACACTCTAGTACTGTACAGAATGTTAAGACAAATGACCAATGAGGAGTAAAGTAAACAATTCTTAAGACAACACTGAATTTTAGCTCAAACTCGTGCGCTCATACACTATAAACAAAGCAAATTTGGGATGGAAAAATTACAGGGATATTCTGATATGACATAAAATAGCATTCAAGAGGCGGGTCGCTTCATCACTTTACTTGTGGACACCCCATATACGGTGCACTGGGTTGATGACATACCATCACAACACACTCGTCTCATTCCACATAAATGTAAATTTCTTCCTTTAAAGTTTCCAAGCTGTTCAAACTCACTTCAGTACCTCAACTGATCTCAGAAGGATCCTTATCTCCCTTTCATATAATATTTACAAACTTTTTGGGTACTTCATGTTATAACAAGACTTAAAAAATCTATTCAGAAATATGCTCCTAAAAGCAGAATGATTCTTATGTTTGAACCTGTTCTTGCTGACTGTTGATATTATTAGAATATGGTGCACTGCATATTCTTGTCTGAGGCACCAGTAAATTGTTAAAGTGCTGTGTAGCCGACACAGCGGACTCGACCCCAATATTGTACAGCGGGTGCACTAACATCTGTTGAAGAAAGAAGTACTGTATTTTTTTCATTCTTTCTCACATTTAATTTCTGACTTGACATCATAACAACAATGTATTTTTCTGCTAACTTAAAAATAAAAGTCAGAAGTAGTCATGTGACCATTATTTAAAGTTTATGGACTCGACCAAGAATACACAGGTAGCTAAAAATATATTAATGAAACAGTAGACCATCAATATTCGTGGTTTCTGGATTGGCATGTGTACCAATCTCCCATTCATGACCCCTGACCTCTAGTATTTACAGACTTTCAAGGAGTTCAAATTCATGCATCTTGGGGCCCAAATTGCTAGAGTACCTAACAAAAAAAACACCATGATCCACTAAAATGTATTATACTTTAACAGCACATTAAAGGTAAAACCACATTCATTGCCCATATACCACCTTCAAATTTAATTAGAAATCAGAGAATGTTCAAATGTTCAGTTTTTACATTATTCACTATTCTGTAGTACAGTATTACATTAAGATCAATACAGTATTCACTAACACTTTCTCTGCCGTGTTGTGTTTAGTGTGTTAAAGTTCATTCAATGACTATTAAAGAACCACCAATCAAAATTCCTTACTTTAGTTTAATACTCTGTACTTGGAATTATTTTGTTAAATCAATTGAAATTGAAATATCTTCATCTTGAGTAATAAACAAGGCTCAAGGTTTACTCTTGTTGTGCATTAGTTTTTATTCTAACAAGAAATACACATTAACATACAACTTACCAGCTCATTGGACGGGTGACCAACAACACTTTTTTTGTGTATAGAAGCTGCAGAGAAATGTTGTGCCACAGACATACCACTCAGTGTATAGCATGTGTGGTAGAAGTCAGGTCCCCTGTAATGAAATATTGACTAAGTCTTACACATTAATATCATTAAACAAATAATAGACAGTACACTATCTAATGTATAAATCTTTTTAATGCCTCCCTCGGGATATGAAAGGGTTCCATACAACAATAAAAATAAATATATACTGTATTTCATAAATCAATGCAATTTTTTGTTTTGTGGAAGAATACTTAAGCTACAACCCCTTGTGTACAGCGCTCCCTCTGTGGTGAATAAAGTCGTTTGGTGTTAACCAAATAAGATATTAAATGTGGGATCCCTCATAGTGAAGGGGTTAATTTGAAATGTTCTAGTTTTCATTCTTTTATTATTATTCTATTTCATAAGGTGAAGAACTTCAGTATAGGTTCTGCAACACAGCCTAAGTTCTTAATTAAAATATACCTGTACTGTATGTTGATTTTAACCAATTTCTGCTAATGTTAACCTTGAGATCAGGAATGTCTGAAAATGACTTACTTTTTATGAATTACAAATTAAGATTATAGCATAACAGTGGTTCCCAACCTTTTTTGGCTGCGACCCTAAATTTCCCAACAATATGGTGTCGTGACCCTCAGGCATATAATATATTATATAGCTTGAATGTTAAGCAAAAATTTGTTTGACTTTATGATAAATACTATATTTTTTTAATTGTCTGAAGGCCCCTCGCAACCCTACTGAGGACACCCAGGACCTGAGGTTGGGAACCGCTGGGTCATAGACGTACAATAAGTTGTGTTTCACAAATGTAATACATAAACCAACATGCAATAAACCTTAAAGGTTTTGAACATTGTTGCAGAACCTTGGACAATTGAAGGTACACATTAGTTTACAACCAAAGTGTGCTGGGTATGGTATAAAACATATCTATAGTGTACAGTATATGACAACAAACAAGTTATGCATACTTTCCAGGTTTGTCAACCAATCCACCTCGTGAATGTTGACAACAAAGTAATAAGTATTCTTGGAGCGCCTCCTGTTGGAACATCCAATGTTCAGCACTCATATTTACTGCATCTGGAAAATATTACTTTCATTAATATATTAAAAAGTTACTAGACAGTTGATTGCTTATATGAATCAGTTCAACAATATAAGAGACAGTGTTTTCAATATGGAGAGTGATCCCTCCTGCTTCCTATTATTCTTTATTTCGTTGATTATCAACTTAATTTGTGATGAAAAGAAGAGGGTTATGACAGTCACCTTCCATCTGCCCGATGATGCTAACCTCATTCTTTTCACAATTGTTAGGTTGTCTTAACATTATAAAAAAATAACACACCTCTACTTATAGGTTAAGTTAAGGCACCATCTTTGTAACAGCCACAACACTGTACCTGTAATTTATACTGTACAGGGGGTCCCCGGGTTACGAACGGGTTCCGTCCCTGAAGACGTCTGTAAGTTGGATTTTTATGTAAGTCGGAACACATGCTATGTGCATACCGTACTTACAGAACAATGTTTAAAATCCCTCTATATCATAGCCTAAGCCCTTATATATATCTAAAATCACTTAATTTAAGACAAAAGAAAAAGAAGAATGACAAAATACAGTAAATGAAAGTATAAAAATAAGTCATCAGATAAATAAAATATACTGTAAATTTCAAGTTCAACCTCATTCGTATCGGCGGGCATTCATAAGTCGGGGACCACCTGTACCTAAACGTACACACTACATGTTAATATACCTTGATAAATTTTCTGATCCTGATAGTGATAGAGATCAATACATACATAGGAACTTTCTTCTCTGAATGTGAAAGATGAGTGAGGTGCAAAATATGAGAAATTAACACATACACATGCTGTACTTTCATACCTTCTTGAGTAAGAAGAGTATGCAGAATTGGGAACAGTCCTCCTTGCCAAAATGAGTAGCAACCATCCACTAATTTGTTGGTGCGACCTTGGAAACCTCCCTCAAATCGCATCTGACGGTTCACTGCCCATCTCTGATAATAACAGATATTTTATATAAATAAATAAATTCCCCAAACTCCCCTCACCCAGTGATCATAAAGGGTACTGCATTATGCCTTTGTACAGTTTACAAATTCCAAAATTTTATCCAATCAATTGTAACAAGCAAAATAAAAAGAAAACAATAACTCAAGCAGTCTCCCATACCATTCCAATACTGTACAACTATTAAATACAGTAGTGCTGAAAACTGAAAAAGATGTACTGTGCCCATCTCTACATACATTCATACTGTCTGTATACTTAGAATCCAGGCACACTGTACAAACAAGGAATGGATCCTCAAAAAATATCTAAAATTATTAAGAAAATCCCTCAGTACAGGGCAGATACTGTGCTGCAAACATGAATAAGCTTTTTTATCATTTTACCTCTTATCAGCTTACTACACCATTTGAAAAAACAGCTTAGTGATTTTAAAAATACAAAAAAGGCCTCATAACTAACCAAGAGCGCTGGAGTGTGACAGAGGTGGTGTGCGTGAAGGAGTGTTAACGCAGCCAAGCCACAGAAAGTGTAGCCACCGTGAGCCTCCATGCCCGGTGCTCCACTGAACCCGCCCTCATACGACTGACACCTAGTAAATTAAAAGAATTAAGTTCTCGATTTGATTAATACTCCTAACATCCTTTATGCCTTTTCCCACAATTTGTGAGGTGGTAACATCAAGCAAGAAGGGTTAGCTTAGCCTGGGTCATTGATTTGGCCGGTACCCAACTCACAGTATGCCACCAAAATAATTTCTTATCCATGTCTTGTACAGAGAGAATTTATAATGTAACCAGCTGAGCCTCAGGGCTTACAGTGGTACTATGACAAAGTTTGAGATCAAGTCAGTGATTTCTATTGGTCAAATCCCTGAAAGTTCGCTGCCAAAGCTTTCTGCTGTTCTAAAATCACAATTAAAACTATAGTGTACAGGTACAGGTATTATCTTTCTAGGCATGGAATTTATCCCTCGAGACTCTTTCAACAAACATGCCACTCTTTCGAGACTGATCTAAAAATGAAAGAGATATATGCATTAAACAAAACACACAATATCATTAGGAACAAAACCACAACTTTCATAGTTTTAAAATATACACCAAGCTTATGTCATGTTTTCATATTGATTAAATAAATCACATACATTCACTATTATTTATCAATTAATTGGAGCTGCAAATAAACTAATGAAGGGCAAGATGTATGTGCAGTATTGTGTGTAATTTCTGACTCATGAAGAAGAAAAAGTAAGCTATAGTAGGGTAGAGTACATGCTGCTTGGGGCTAGTACAGTATATCACAAACTTATTGGCCCCCTCAACCAACTAATGCATCCACAAGCTTATTAACAACTGCATCTACCGACAAACATCGTGACAACATTATTATGAATACAAGCACACAATTAGTGTAATCAAAATGCAGTTTCTATTCTTCAAAACATTATCTCTCCACATGTATACAGCAGCAAATATTCACTTCATTCCTGGCTCTATCACTTTACCAATCCTGCCAGCCCATCTCTCACAACACCATGTCTTATAATTACGACTATATGTCATAGTACAAATATTCTCCATGACTCCACCTTGACTCTATATTCCTCTAGGTGATCACATCCTTCATTCTAACTCCCTTCCTTCCCTTATGCCCACCCTTAAATTCTCTCTAAATATTTCATCAGCTTTTCAATACTCACGTGACGTTCCTCCATTAGTTCTGTGTGACTTCAAGATGTTGTCTGGTTTTAAAATCTTGCTCTACATATCAAGCTCAGCTACTAATTTTTTTGGAAAAGATGATGACTACTAAAAATTGTCAGTGCAAGCATTGCATCACTCATTAACAGAAACATAGTAACCAAACTAAAGAAAATCTTACCGCATAATCCAATGGGCTGTTTCAGAGAACTGATGATCTGTATACACATTAGTAAGTCGTGCAACAGAGATTGCACAGTAAGCCCCACGAATATCCACTTCTCCACCTTCGTGCATACGAAATGCTCCTTCATCAGTGTGCATATCCCACAAAAATTCTTGAAGCTTTTCCCTGTAGTTATATAAAACAAAAAGGAAGGTTTATCAAAATGAGAAAAAAAAATATACTGGTGTGTTAAGGAATATGGAGCAGCATAACCATCTTTCACTTATGCAAGGTGTTCCTTACACAACCACTTAATATTCACCTCACCATACTGTGTTTGTATATCATTATGTGCTTATTTACACTTGTTTGAATTAATCACAATCGATGTATATTTGACATTACAATCACCAGTCTTGTCCGGTACAGTACAGTAACAGCCATACCATGTAGGGCAGCAGCCACTCTCACAGGTACTACCAACCATCCATATATCCCAACTTTTCCTTATTTATTCTTAGTCTTTATTTCAAGAGGTAGCATTTAGAAGTAGAGAGTGGAGTCAGCTGGCTGGTGTATGCAGTTACAGCATCTCTGAGCAAAAACAATCCTGGTCATTCTTGCTGTTTGAATGACGGTTCAGTACTTGTTTTATCCATGTTGTCTGCTTTGGTTTCACTGAAGTTTTTTCTTTTGCACAGGTCTGACCTGGTTCACTAACAGCATAAAACTTATTGGTATGTAATTTGTCACATTTCTACTTAATGCCAAAAATTGTTGTGGTTCATGAACCATTAATGGTCATGGAGTTTACTTGCTGGTTGAAACTTATTGAGTTTTGAGACAATTTCCACTTTTTCTAAGCTAGGTCAGCAGATGAAATTTTGAGAGGATTTTGAATTTTAATTAAAATACAGTACAGTACTCCAGAACTTCAGAAAATTGGTTATTTCTGGAAACTCACTTTCTGATTCCAGATACTTAAGTGTACAGAAGAGAAAAACCCTTTGGTGGACTAGCATCCTGCCAAGAGTCAATAGATAACTTATGCTGAGACTCGGGGGATTTTCCTGTCAAGTCACCCCGTGCCACTGTATGCAAAAATAAAAACAAATGAGCAAACTATGGCAGACAGTCTTTACTCAAACAGAACTTCTGATTTCAAGTCCTGTACCGAGATAAAAAACATAAATTATGGATTTATTACCTATTAATTGCATCATAAGCTTCCTTAGTGCCGATAATGGCAAGAGCATTAACAGCAGCATATGTGGGGGCAAGGTGGGAGTACTGGCCTGGACCCCCTCCAAAGCCACCTTCAGGGTTCTGGCAATGCTTCAAGAAGTCTATTATGCCAGCTGCTTCATCATTCGTCAGCCTCACATCTAAAAGTTCTAATGCATGCACAGCCCAGTAGACTAACCATGGACGGCTGGCATCCAAACTCTGAAAGAAAACAGGATACATTTTAATCATCGTCAAAAGATAACACTTAACATTCATTGTTTGTAGAAGAAATATACAATACTGATTATTCTAATAACCATCCCAATTTACATCAATAACAAATAATTAACCATCATAATTAACCTGATATTTCATAAAATTTACAATCTATACATCCTTCCTCAAACAAAAGGAACTTCACTACAAAATTTACTTCCAATTATATCAAGGGATTCCTAAAACTGAAAACAACAGCACATAATACAAATAAAACAATAGAATACATAAATGTTAAGGTTAGCTCTGTCACTTTATTGTGGTCTTTTAGTATTGTCTGTCTGTCTGTTTGTGTCCCCAAAATAATTCGGGTACAGGTTGACAGATTGGATCAATAGGTACCAAAGTCCACGTGATAAACAAAACTGACCAAGTGTTGCCATGGTAACAGTTCACATAATGATAACATAATGTTTTTGGGTGTTTAAAGAAGAGTGTTTCCTGTGGCGACTACACTAATTTACCGTAACAGCATCACTAGTCAGATGTTTACCCTGCCATGGGAACAGTTGTGGGCAGGGTTTGCATCTGCTCACATATATAATTTCTTAACGCCTTAGAACCTCTAAAGTTACAAGTTAGTGCTTCAGAAAATACTGTGTTTGTTTTTGTGCATCAGTATCTTTTATGATGCAACCCATGTTATGTTCACCAGAAAGTGCAATACTGTACAGTACAAACAGTTTGCATCCACAATGCCATCCACTAAAATTCATCTCAAAAGTACAGTAATACTTTACAGAAAAAAGCTAAAATACTGTAATTATGGCCAAAGCTCCTTTTCATGTGATAGAAAATGGCCTTGCAATCATCGAGCAATGTGTTTGTCAGCTAATGTCAGTTCAATTATGTCATTTGATGGACCAACATATTTCAAAATTCTTTAATACTCTAAAAAAATTCTTTGTTGTACCTTCACAGCTTTTTGTTCAATTGACTGATTTTATTGGAAATTGGTCCCATGTATATTAGAATATAGTACTGTATGGGTATAAACAACAATTACTGTACAAATACACACATCATACATCACCCTACTGTACAAATAAACATCTCTCACAAAGTACTGTGTGTATAATAGAACTCCAAGGATGAGACAAGACATCAGAAGGATTACTTCCATTATGATAGATTCCTTTAAAAGTTTAACATTTAAAAGATACAGTGTCTGAGGCTTCTCACACAGCAGCTGTGGTTAAATGGGAAACACTAGACACTAGTAACAGAACTCATCAACACACACCTGGAACATATCTCAGTGATGAGGTGTTGTGAGCACATGGTTACCTGCACATACAGAACACCTTAAAGTCAGCAACATCCTTCAGTCTGCCATCTACTCTACAGTACCTCTTGCTCACCCACCACCACCACCACACTTGCTGCACATTACTGAGTTGCTGTCAACACATTTTCCACCACAGGTCCCTCACCCACACCAGTAATCATTACAGTACTTTTGTTTTTGCCACATTCACTTTAGGGTCCTTTGACTCTATTCCAGCCTTCCATTTCTCCACTGCCTCTTCAATACTATCTGCTATCAGCACTACACCATCAGCATACAACTCCCAGGGCAAGGGTAAGCAAAAACGACTAACCTCGGATGGTTACATTATAGGGTAGATAAGGTTTAATCAATTCCTGTGGTCTGCCACCTAAATAAGTCTTCAAAATCATCTCATCTTTCCTTCCCTGCTGTCTGCATTAAAACAAACATATCAGTGATGATCCTGATAAAATACTTAAAGAAATTAAGTTGTGGATCTAAACTCAACTCTTACAGCACAGTATCTCTTGTAATATGTCTATATAATGTTCACTGACAGTACTTAGGCTAAATTTTGCCGAGACACGTGACTCACCACAAAACCTTCCGGCAGATGCTTCAGTCCTTTCTTCAGGTAAGCAATGTGTCGTTCACGATGTAACACTGGCTCCTTTGCATCATTCCCAGTGTTCAAGAAGTAGTTAAAAATAGCTGCAACACTTTTTTCAACTCTAACCTGAAAAAATAAATAAAAAAGTGTTAAAATTGTCAACAACCCAAACCAGACCCTTCCATATAATGTATAACTAAACTATATACTCTAACAGATGAACAAATTTACACAAAAATATCAAGTACCATACAGCAAGATAGTAAATATCCTTTTGTTTCTACTAAGAAAATATTATAATGTATTCATTGTAAGTGCAGTCACAAGTGTTCACACAATTTTTAATTCTCATGAGTTCTGCAGTCGTTTTGAAGTACTACAGGCAGTCCCCAATTATTGAGGTTTTGGTTTATGAAAATTCAAAGTTATGAAACATTAATTTGCTCCCATGATTTGATTCATAACAAAATATATTAAATTACATTATTTATTCTTTTGCTTCCCATCAGCCTGCATATATCTTAATTTTGCAATATGAAAATATTTTTTTTAAGAAATTTCATTTTTCGTGTAACATAAGAACATAAGAATGGAGGAAACTGCAGCGGGCCTATTGGCCCATACTGGGCAGTCCCGTTTACACCCAACCCCTATTGCTCATATAAGCATCCAACCTATGTTTGAAGCTATTCAGCGTATTCGAGTTAATGATGATATTTGGTAACTTGTTCCGCTCATCCACTACTCTGTTTCCAAACCAGTGTTTACCTATTTCACGCCTAAATCTAAATTTGTCTAATTTAAAACCATTGTTACGAGTTCGCTCCCGGTTGGAGAGTTTGAGTACCTTTGTAAAGTCCCCTTTGTTTAGCCCTGCCTTCCACTTATACACCTCTATCAGGTCGCCCCTCGCTCTACGTCTCTCGAGGGAGTGCAAATTAAGATGCTTTAACCTGTCTCTATACTCAAGGTTCCTAATGCCCGGTATTAGTCTTGTCATTCTCCTCTGAATTCTTTCCAAGGATTCTATATCCATTCTGTAATACAGTGACCAGAACTGAACTGCGTAATCCAGGTGTGGTCTCACAAGAGCAAGATACAGTTTTAGGATGACCTCGCTAGTCTTGTAACTAACACTCCTTTGTATGAACCCAAGTACTTTATTAGCCTTGTTACGAGCAAAAACACATTGTTTACTTGGCTTCAGGTTCCTACTTATCATTACTCCTAAATCTCTCTCGCAGTCGGATTTCTCTATGGCATCGTTGTTCATCTGGTATCTGGTTTCCCTGTTTACATCTCCTATACTGAGTACTTTACATTTGTCCACGTTGAATTTCATCTGCCATTTTTCAGACCATTCGAAAAATTTGTTTAGATCTTCCTGTGTAAATTGTGCATACAGTGCTAAACGAATTTACTAAACGGAAAGCTCGTTAGCAACCACTCCATCACTTTAAGAGTTCAGCCAATCACTGGAAAGGATTTATCAATACGTAGCGCAGACATGGCGTTGGAGGAGCTCAGAGCATGATTATTTATGAAGAAATTTGGAAAAAAGAATATACAGTACTGTACTGTTCTTAGTGTGTAGTTCCTCCACCCAATTTGCTTTATTCTTGAGGTAAGATATAAATTTTCAGTGCGTATGATTTAACCTCATCCCACAGAACTTAAAAATTGATCCTGCAGAAACACTGAAGAGAAAAACATCAACCAAAAACATGTCAATGACCGTCTGTGTAAATGGATATTAGTTAGTTAATACAGTGAACCCTCACTTTACGACGTTAATTCAACCCACGGCGGCCCGCGTAAAGTGAACAACATAACATATGGGATTAATTGAAATAGAGACCGGGCCGACCCCCGAACTCCACTTTTTCAGACACAATACCTACGTTGTAGTAAAAATAACTTCTTAATTTTATGATGGTATGCACACACAATTAATAATTAAGAGGATGGGGATGGGGGGTTGGTTCCGAGGCAGAGGGCAGATTATTGGCCCCCACCTGTATCACTTGTATCAATTGTATCACTATCCACCACAGAGGCTTGCAGGGCCTCTTTGTCAAACCCCTCAAAGTCCATATAAGTCCATATCCTCACTATCATTATCACTATCACTGACTTGGGCCGGCTGTGGTGGGTGGCGGGTGAAGAACTCGGTAATGTTTTGATGACTGGGTGACCTTGTGCGCACCCTGCTCGCGCCGCTTACACAACATGGCGGATGGCGGGAGAGATGGCTGGAGGTTTGGATCCAAAAATGGCGCGGCTCGCCAGCCGCGCTCCGCGTAAAGGGGTACACGCACCGCGGAATGTGAGCATTCCGGTTTCGGCAGGGTACCGCGTAAACGTGGAAACGCATAAAGCGAGGGTTGACTGTACTGACGATCACTTATACATAAAAAAGGGCTATTTTCCCCTGGCCTGATGCACCATGTTGGTTGTCACTAGGCATTAACCAATGAATGTCAAGGACGTTAAGATATTTAAATATTTCAGCCAATGAGCGGTGGTATTCTCCATCTTTTCCACCTCAGCTTTGTCGAACCTTTCTTGAACATGGATGTGTGTAACATTTTCAATATTTTTTTTTCAGATGATGTAATAGACATTTTTGTGAGTCACGGCAATCTTAGGAAAAGTACGGCCTGTGGTCAAGAAAATACAATGTGTTTACAGGCAAAACAGATGCAGTTAACATACAGCAAGTTACTTAAAGGTTGTTAGGCTTTTGGGGGTTAGGTTAGTTTAGGTTTTGTTAGAATAGTTTAGGTTAGGTTAAGTTTTTATCTTCTATACAAAAATTTTCTAAAATTGCTGGTTAGGCTGTCCCCTCAGTCCAGAGTACTGCTGCCTTAACTGTTAGTAAGCAATTATCCTGAGATAACACTATACATTTTGGCTATGATAATAAACTTTAAAATCACCTTTCAACAGTATAGTGAGGAATAAACTAACACCAACGTACCAATTACTCATTCATGTTACAATTGTTTTATTAATAAATGAAGAACAAGATGGTATAGGTTTGTGCTGAACACTGAGGCAGGTTAATGATATTAAAGGAATCACAACAATTAAATGACTATACGTGAGTACTTAAACTGCTATGGTCTTGACTTACTTGCTCATCAGAGGTTATGGTTGAGACACCTTCATCACAGAACCTCTCGCTATTAGCCTTAGAGTGTTTACACCACATCTTTGTCTCAGCTAAAGTGATTCCTGACACTTGTAAATAACAGAGCCCTTGACTTAGCTCACCAAATTGGTTAATGTTAACTTAATACCACGAACAGGCCAGGGAGAACTATTAGAAATTACCAAAAAACATGAACTAATAAGACATAACTTATCCTCATCAAAATTCTCAAATTATCGTTAGAGTAGATTAAGGTAAATTAAATTTTGTTCTTTCGTATAGAATTAGATCATAATAGTTTTTTTGGGGTCATACTCGTGAATTAATTTTAACATTGTTTCTTTCAGCTGCCGTCCGTGAAGGCGTTCCCCGGCTGAGATGTGTTCTACCAATCAACGTTCAGATCATTACCCACCGACCAATCACAGGCAAGCTCACATATTTCAAGGACTATGTATGCAAATGTTTATGTTTGTAATAGTTATAATATCAAGAATTTTATTATGTATATATCGTAAATTATAGATATTGTTTAATTATTTATATAAAATTATGTAAAAAATACATTTAATGTAATGTTAAATGTAAAAATTATTCCTCAATGTTAAACTCTAACTTAGCGACAATGATCCCTGTCTTCTCGAGAGCTTCCCAACTATTTAACTGAGATTTTTTTAAGACACCGTCAAAATCGCCACCACGGCCTTAAATCTTTCACAATAATAATAGTCGACACGAATCAATTATCCCATACAAGATAGGTGAAGTTTAGTCGGTCAAGTGGCCTGCTTTGAAAACTACCCCAGTGTTGTGAAGTCCAAGTGTAGTGTAGTGAATTCTCCCCTACAAACGCTGTTTGTCGCTGCCTAGCCGACCCCACCAATTCCCCAGTGTATGCCTCGTGGTCTAGGTCAACCAGCGCCGCCATACACACGGAGCGGGGGTCAACTGCTAAGCCACGCCTACCCCCGCTATTTAAGACCTGACCTCGTGGTGATCTGTCTCTCCTTCTACCTACACCAACCAGCCAGCAACACCTCCGCCTGCCTGGCGGTCCTCTCTCCCGCTGGCGAGCATGGCGACCCACAAGCTGTCCTTCTCTGAGCGTCCTCACCAACCAGCTCTCTACATCACGCTTGTAACCATGCTGCCTTCCCAGCACCAAGCTGCATTGTACATCCAATACAACATGCATATAGAGAGCACATTGTGAGTTTCCTTTCTCCATCCCATCCTGAGTGTGAACCAAACAATCTTAACCCCACAGAAAAGCTACCACGTGGAAGAGTAAACCCCTTCTGATCAAGAGAAAGGTGTCCGCTCATTCATGTATTTCCCTTATTTACCGAATTATAAATAGCCATCTACTAGACTACTTAACCTCCATGTGTTGGTAGACCTTCGAGTCACCGGAAGACGTGTGGTGAGGACGAACACAGAGGAGGGAGTGGCGGGTGGGGTGGGGGTTCCTGGTCACATACCACAAACTCATGATATATGACCCCACTACACACACATACCAACCACCCACACTCGGCAACCACTATTTCTCATTGTATATTTATATAATAATTCTAATTCGCTTTGATAGTGGCTTTGTCGGGAGTTCATTAGGAGTCCCCATTTTCAGCTACTGTTTGTTTGGGATACTCACTTCTGTACTGACGGAGAAGTTGACTTTTATGTCCACATCTTGAGTCACATGCTGAGCAAAAATTATTATTGTGACGGCTAGAAGCGGTATTACAAACACTCAGGCTTTGTAATTGTATATATATATATCTTCATGTGCCCAGAGGCCGAGTACTACTACAGTACTGTAATTTAATTATTGTGGATAACTTTCATGTGTCTACCGTAAGTGTTTAATGCGAGATACTGTAAGTAGATAGGACAGTGTAAAGTGACTTGACGAAATGTTGCGAGATAAGTGATGTATTGTGTAGACTGTGTAAAGTTTGTTCAATGGTCACTTAGCAGTATCTCTCTGCTTCATGTTTCAGGAATGTTAATCAGAGTTGTACAGACTGTTATGCTGTACAATATACAGTATATTGGTCCAAGGCAGGGTATATCCTGGGTGTGGCCCAAGGCAGGGTATATCCTGGGTGTGGCCCAAGACAGGGTATATCCTGGGTGTGGCCCAAGACAGGGTATATCCTGGGTGTGGCTTAAGGCAGGGTATATCCTGGATGTGACTTAAGGCAGGGCATATCCTGGATGCGGCCCCAAGGCAGGGTATATCCTGTGTGTGGCCCAAGACAGGGTATATCCTGGTGTGGCTTAAGGCAGGGTATATCGGGGTGGCTCCAAGGCAGGGTACATATCCTGTGTGGCCCTCCAAGGCAGGGCATATCCTGTGTGGCTTGGCTGCAGGTATATCCCGTGTGGCTTGCTGCAGGTATATCCTGTGTGGCTTAAGGCAGGGCACATCCTGTGACTTAAGGCAGGGCATATCCTGTGTGGCCCAAGGCAGGGTATATCCCTGGGTGTGGCTTTGGGTGCAGGGTATATCTGGATGTGGTCTCACAGCAGGGTATATCCCAGGTGGCCTGGCAGGGTATATCCTGGGTGTGGCCCAAGGCAGGGTATATCCTGGGTGTGGCCCAAGACAGGGTATATCCTGGGTGTGGCTTAAGGCAGGGTATATCCTGATGTGGGCTCAAGGCAGGGTATATCCCGGGTGTGTGGCTTACAGTAGGTATATCATGGATGTGGCTCCAAGGCAGGGTGGTATATCCTGTGTGGGCCCAAGGGCAGGGTATATCCTGTGTGGCCCAAGGCAGGGTATATCCTATGTGGCTTAAGCTGCAGGGTATATCCTGTGTGGCTTAAGGCAGGGTATATCCTAGTGTGGCCCCAAGGCAGGGTATATCCTGTGTGGCCCAAGGCAGGGTATATATCCTGGTGTGTATTTGCTAGGGGTATATCCTGGTGTGGCCCCAAGGCAGGGTATATCCTGGGTGTGGCCCCAAGGCAGGGTATATCCTGGGTGTGGCCCCAAGGCAGGGTATATCCTGGGTGTGGCCCCAAGGCAGGGTATATCCTGGGTGTGGCCCCAAGGCAGGGTATACTTACATCCTGTAGGCTACAGGGTGACCCAAGATAAGATATACCCAGGGCAGAGTATACTCAGGGTGCTTAGGTTCACATGTTTTAGTGTATAGGTCATGTTTCACTGAGGTGGTGACGTCAGCGCCCCCCCCCCCAGGCATCAGCTGTTGAGCCAACATGGCGACCACAACGCCTAACTTAACCTAACCTAAACTGATCTAAACTGACCTTACTAATGTTTGGAAGGTGAAGCAGGTTGTGCATCCCTTACACAGTGTAAGTGGACCCACACTCCCTAGTGATATGGTGACACTTGGCATGGAGTCCCTCAGAGCTCAGGTTACAAAAGGTCACACAAATAAATAAAGTGGGAGTCACAGCCAGGACCGTAGGTCACTGAAGGGCCAACACTGTGGTTCATCTTAATGTATGTCTGTTGGTGCCAATGTTTCCAACACTAATGTTGCAAACATTTTCGTGTAATGTTCACAACATTGTTAATAACAAAGTTGCCAGCAATGTTGCGTTGGTGTGGATCCATGTTAAGAGTGACAGTGGCCATCAACGGGAGGGGGGAGGGGGCAGTCGTTCATCACACACTTTGATTGATATTGAAACAGTTTATTTAGCCAGAAAAATACAGATACAGAGTCAGTAATTACTACTAGCTGTTAAGTATAAATTCCAAGAGGACGCATACAATTTCTTTACCACAACTGATCATTAAGTAATACGAGCGGTGGTGGTAGAGTATGTTGTGCTGGAGATGCTGCCTCTCAACTGTGTCCCGGGTTCTATTCACGGCTGGTTCATTATCTTCATTTATACACAAGCTTAACAATCAGTCATTTTCCAGTGTTCGTGAAGAGAACATTTAGATGACGTGAAGATTAGGTACACCCAGCTTACTTCACCCGTGGGAGTTAAGTTGGGTTAAGTTAAGGTGGCTGGTCTTCAGGTGAACTAATCTAAGGTGTCTAATCTTCAGGTGATACGAAAAACTACTTTATTCCGTTATAGTTTACTGAAGTTATCCTGTGAGGTATTTTGTACCTAGTATTCATTCAGCTCAACACACACACACACACACACACACACACACACACACACACTCAGTACTGTAGAAGGACAGAAGGTCATGCTGGGTTACTTGACGTAGAAGGGTGTATGTGTATATATTTTTCTAGTAGAAAGAGAGGATCAAAGATGATATGATTAGAGGATGGGGTGTGTGTGTGTGTGTGTGTGTGTGTGTGTGTGTGTGTGTGTGTGGTGTGTGTGTGTGTGTGTGTGTGTGTGTGTGTGTGTGTGTGTGTGTGTGTGTGTGTGTGTGTGTGTGTGTGGGAAGGTCTCGCATGTGGGAACACCAGTACTGCAGAAGGTCGCCACAGGGAGGTCAGACACAGGGCGGTCGTACTGTACTGCTTGATAAGACACATCTAGGTCACCACTACACTACACTTACATCAACACTATGGCCACGAACACCTTCTAAAGTACTCGGTAACAGCTGTATTATCCTGCCTCATTTGCATCATTGTTTAAGAAAAGGGGAAACCTAACGATATATTTGACTTTTATTTTTTGGGGGGCGTGAACGTAATATTATATGTTCTAAAAATACTACAGTGAACGCGAGGGTCAGCCAGTAGTCACCGCCCACACACTCATCTTCACTCGCCTGTAAACCATTATTACTGTACTCTTAATTTTCAGTTTTCTAATAGGTTTCTTCACTCGCCTCCCGTCCTAAGGGTCGCCCGGGGCACCACCAGTCTACCCAGGCGTGAATGGGCCCCTAAATGTATAGTTCAGAGAAGTTAAGGTGACGCTATTTTCTTGGCTCTCCCGCCATAAAGAGCAGCAACAGATGTGAACCAGACCAGACTGTCCCTGACGCTCTCGGGACAAACACATTTGTGTACACGTCGTGAGGATCTCCCCTCTGTAACCTTACCCGCACGCACCCCAGCCCGCCGCGGGGGACCCAACCCACTGTCTCCACACCAGAGAGGAATGGTGGGGTGATGGTGGTAGGGAAAGGGGGGGGGGATGGTGGCAGGCGAAGGGGGGGATGGTGGTAAGCGAGGG